AGATGAAATGGAAGCCCATTTACTTGAATTAATTACTCCTCCACCGCTTTTTATCGACTGAAACGCCAAATTCCAGGCGAACCCGCAACCTGGAGGACCAGGAGACTGAACTTCGTCTGACCTCTACCCATTGACCTTCCAGGCATGATAAGATCTCCTGGCTTTATAAAGCCATCCTGTGTAGCTCGTTGGGTCACAGAGGTGCACAAGCCATCACACCACGTCAATCAACATTCACGCACTGAACTACAGCATTAACTCTGTGCAGATCATCTAGTTATCTCCTTTTGCCCTAGCTTTAACCGAAGCCTATATGCTCTTACTGGACACCACTCACTCTAAACTGTCCTTATTGATGTTTTAGAGTTGTACATCGTTTCGTTCCACAATTATCCATATCCGACAAATCCAAATCCCCAAAATGAACAAGCAGCGTACTTAATCGTGTTGTATGACTAAAACGCTCAGCTTCCAGCGCTCCTGTAGAGTGAAGAACATATGATCAATCAAACGAAGAACCAATGAACGCTTCATCCGCTAAAAAGCCAAACACTGGTTTCGTAAACCACCGGCACCAGAGCATGTCAGCCACTTAACAAAGTAGTTATCCCACTTGTTCTATCCATTGTTCTTCAACACAAGTTTATTCTGGTAGAGCCCGGAGTACGTTCGCATTAAAATCCTGCCTCAACAACACGTCACATATGAGCCCACCACACCGATCGTCTCTATACACCGCAGTAAGCCTCTACATCAAGCGGCCAAACATTTACTCAATTGATGTTATTAATCACAAAATGGTGAAAATGAATCAGTCCTAGAAACAACCTTTTACTGCTAGATCGTGTTGCGCGTTACAAACTACTATCCCCAACCCACCACGGCTTCCCCAAAAAAGGTAATGTCCCAGGAACCTGTTGCGCTTCCTAGTTGAAGTCACAAGGAAGTTGGATGAAGGCCAAAAGATCGAGGTGTGTTATTTGGATTTTAGAAAGGCTTTCCTGGTTTATTCGCTGTAACCACCGTGCTTTGGACCCTACGGTTCGAACCCCACTACCGCCACCCGACTTTGGTGGTAGACAGAACTGCTGTCGTCCGGTTCAATACCACGCCTAACCTATCTGGGCCTTATGTGGTTCGCCACTCCAAGTCCCGGGGCTTAGGTTGCCTGTTTCCATCACTGAACAGCAGGTCG